CATCTAGTCCGAACGGACCAAATTGTTGGACCGAACGGACTAGAGAGTTCAGTCCGAACGTACCAAGTGTTGGACCGAACGGACTGACCCGTCAGTTCGAACGGACCCAGTTATGAAACTGGTACGAACGGACCAAGTGTCCAGACCGAACGGACTACTAAGCAGTCCGTTCGGTCTGGGGTTCGGATTTAATTTTAAAGTCCGGATCTAGGGTTAATCACTTGAATAAAAGGAGAAATAGAACCCTAACACTAAGTGGCCGACCTAGAGAATTTTTCAGACCTTTTTAGAGAGTCTAGAGGGTTGAAGAAGTGATCTTAATCTCTCTTTCTCAAAGCACATCATCGAATAGAAGATTCGTGTCCTAGCAGACAAGTTCCAAAGGTTGGAACCCATCCCGATGGGTGGATACGTGTAGAGGGCGAGGTATTCTTCCTGCCTATAGTGATCGGACGAACACATCAATTGAAACAGGCCCCGGATCGATTGAGGTAAGCGTTCTAACGTTTCTACAAGATCATGCATGATAGGTTTTAGGGTTTTATCAAATTTTGTTTTACATCCGCTGCGCAAACCCTAGAACCGATCTCTTAGGAATAGGATTCGCTCATGAGATCCCAGGAAAACCCAACATAATAAACAATCGTCATTCTTTCATCACTTGCAACCATTATGCCTATACAAAATAAACACAAAATGGAGATTGGTTTGACGAGTTTGACGGGTTTGACAAGTCTGACCATTTCTAGAGTTTGACCAATTGGACGAAAATGATCACTTTCACCAATCTGTCGAGTTAATTTGACCAGTTTGACTGATATATATGTTACATTTGACTCATCTATATTATATAGATCAAATATAAACACGAAAATTAAAAACCCTAAATACCCAAAATATATATCGGCTTTAAAAAAACTTACCTATTAACGAGATCTATGTTTATTGGATGAGTTTCTTGGATATTTTACTTGTTTCTCGCAACAAATTTGACAGAAAATCGCGCCGGAGAATAGAATTCGAAAAGAGAAAAGAAGAAAAACTCGAAGAGAGAGAACGTAAGGCGAGAGACAACGATAGAGAGAAGAGAGAGAATGGGGTAAAAGTAGATCTATATTTTATTTATTTTAGTATATTATAATATTGTATAAATAAATGAAAGGTATTATAGGGATTCTACATTTATAAGGGTATATATGAATATGATGTTGTCGTTTTTTTTTTCTGAACGAGGGTATGGTCTGAAGTCAAATGTATCATTTAAGGGTATTTTTGCAATTGCCCCTTTTGAGCATTGATGTGATGATTTATGGCATGAGAGAGTAGAAACGTCCTGAAAACATTGTGATCCGTTGAACGTGATTATGTTTTGTTGAATTGATTGCTTGACCTTTAGAATTATCTACAATGGCTTGTGGGATAGAAATCGTTTGTTAGAACCCATGGGACCGATGTTGTCAGCCAAATAGAAAAGTTTCTATAAGAACCTTTTCCATGTTTGCTGAAATCGGTAAAATCTATTATCAAATTCATTCTTATTTCTTCATGTACAGAAAAAAAAAATAATGAGCATCTCGACACTCTGTTGTCATTATCTCGTCAACGAAAATCGTTCGAGGACATGAGTGCATTGATTTGATGGTTCGGGTCTAAATTGTAGGTCGGGTTATCCAATAAACAAAATCGAAAAAACAATGATTAGGAACCTTTCAACTTCAACGTCCTAGGAACCAGAGATGCTAACTAAAGAAAGAAAAAAAAACTAGCTAGATGAAAAAAAAGAAGAAGAAGAAAAAGAATGAATGTCGAAAACTTAGACTAGATACGACTAGGTAGAATAGTGTAATAGGTTCGAGAAACATGCTTGATAGATGATTGAAGTCCTTGGATTGGTTCTAGGTAGCGGTATAGATCATATGGCTAGGAAAGATTATCCTTTAGAGAGGGAAATCATACTAGACAGACTTGATCATTGTTCACGGGGACCTAGGTCGGATAGATGTTTCGCTCTCGATTATCATTTTGAGTTATGTCATTGTCTCGCCCTCTTTTCAGACCGTTTTTCACAGAGTATTTGCTTGACGACGAGCAAAATTTTAAGTCTAGGAGAGTTTGATAACAAGTCTTTTGTGTGATGATTTGATATAAGATGTTTGTGTATTTTACTCGGTTAAACACATTTGTAGACATTTTAGGGCATATTTGGTTTCGATATTGGATGATTGTGTTCTTTGGTGTTTAAATAGGTATTCAAACATAAAGAGAGCAAAAGGAGTAGAATGGATTATAGAACATCACAGACGAAAGGGAACATTTGAAGTGGTTTCAGAGAAAACGTGAAGCTCATGAACGTCAGATTTTGCAAGTCCAATAACTTTCATTCTATAAATCCAGATCATGCATTCTCTACATCATTGGAAAGCTCGTTTGATATCTACGCATAGACACCAAGATCACCCTAATCCGATATCAGAGCAGAAAGTTATGCGCAAATTTGTAAAGTCTGTCAAAACTGTTAAGTGACACGATCGGGTCACTTATACATGACAGATCGGGTCACTTACCAGATTTTGGAAATATTTCGAATTTTGGCCCATAAAAAGAGGAAATAAATAGGGTTAGCCTCCAGGTCGAAATTCATTCAGACTTTGACAGAAAATACACCCTAGAGCACACAAAAGGGGAAGATTATCAACCTTGTTGTCTCGATGTTTAGCGAGTAATTTATTTGCTGTAGGTTAGGGATTTGCTATGTATGGATATTTGGTTTTTAATTCCAGACTTTGTGGATTTATTTATTCTATTCAGCTTATTGAGTTGTTCTTAATGCGTTTGATCTTGTTGGCCATTTGATTAAATAAACTTAGGGTTTTAATTCGCATAAATATATGAGATTATAATATGAAAATAACTCAATAAATAGAACATGTATTGCATCGAGAGATAGATAGTTGCCAAGGGATTATGATAGCTTTCGTTCATGCATCTAGGGTTTAGACTATTGAATCGAGATATTAGTAGGATAAAGCCTTAATAGTGAGATTAAACTCGAGAGAGTTAATCTCTACTTTAGAGCTTGAATTTCCTGAATTGGATAAATAAACCACTGAGTTTGCATATTTTGAAAGAGTCTTTCATGTAAATCAATCCCGAAACCTGCAGTGTTTGTCATTGATTGTTTAAAACTGTTTTTATTGTTTATTTTGCTACACCCTCACACTCATATTATTCCCTCTGGATTTAGGTTTAGATTTGGATTTGATTCATTTGTCTACTTTTGTCCATGTGTTCGACCCTAACTACTATACACGATCCGTAAACTTGCGATTATTTGTTGAGTCTAGGAATATTATTATTTGATCATATTTCTACACCTAGATTTGTGATATCATCATATCAATAGATATATCATACACATGCATTTATCCGTTTACAATCACACGCTAGAGAATATATGAACCCATCTGGTATATTGTCTAATGCCATGCAATCTACCTCGATTCAATCCCTCAATCACAGACAATCATGCATTTCCATTATTTATTCATGATTAATAATTATAAGTCTTTGTCTTGCGCCACTATCAGGAATATATATATATATATATATATATACCCATTATATAAATATAAGTAAATATCCACGCACGATATCTTTCAGTGTTTCACTTTCAATTCATTTTAACCTTCGGTATGATCAAACTAGATACTGCTCCATCCGGTTACCAATTCGTCTCGCCCCAAGGTTTAGGGCTTATTTGAAGTTTGAGTATCGTTTCGACTCAGACCGTCCTTTATTTTTGTTTAGTTTGATTTGGTTTGGCTGGTAGATTGGTCTGGTCAGATTCAGACTAAATTCTGGATCGACCCGGATAATTTGGTCTAGTGGTCAGATTCGGACCAAAGATTGGTACGACTGACCAATCTTCTCTCCTTCTCTCGGCCTGAGTGCAATCAGACTGTCTCACATTTCGGTATGGTCCGACTGACTAAGTCTAGTCAACCCCGGACGAGAACCATTTCTCTGATTCGGAAGACTGGTCCGTCAGTTTTGAGAAAAAGGGGTCACACTAGGTTTTAATGTCTCGTCCGGCTAAATGAAATCTGATCAGCTCTGGACCAGAATATTCTTCTTCCTCAATTCGATTTTTCTTCCGCTATTATTCAACAACTCTGATCCGACGGACTGAACCCCAGTCAGCCTCGAACCAGACTTCAGACTTTTCACAAATCGTACAAACACACACCAAAACTCGATGGATAACGCATCAAAATAATCACAAGCAATCATAGAACACATATCTATCATTAATCTTGCACAAGTCACTCGAAAATTCCGAATCCAATGAAATTAAAATCTTCGAATAACCCAAATTCACCCTATCGAATTCTGACCCATCCTGGTGCTTCTTCCTCTGCGTCTTCCACATATATGTGGCTCCTCTAGTGGGTTCTAGCTCGCTCCCCATGGTTGGAGTTGAAGAAGAAAGGGAGAAAGTTGTTGTTCACCATCGAGAGAGAGCTCGCGATTAAAGGAAGAGAGCGCACGATAGAGATGTCTTGAACAAGAAAATCTGCTGCAAAGGGGTTAATTTGGCCTTGAACATCGCACAAGCATGAGGTGTGATGTAAGCCTCTCACGTCCCAGCAAGCATAACGAAGAAAATCTTCTTTATTACGTCGATCTTGTCCTGATCTCCTGATCTTGTTAACATAATTTAAAGGATTATATGCTCGATCAAATAATTTCTGTAACATAATTAATTTCGATTTATGCTTATTATTCCTTTTATGGAAATTCGGGGCATTACAGAGAAAGACTAGGTCAAGAAGAACGAGGGAGAGTTTTGTCACAGAGAAGAGGATGGGGTGTGGAAGGGGAAGAGAAGTAGGGGTTCTTTCGTCTACGGTGGTTGGGGTTGAGAACCCTGCACCAGATTTTTAAATCTGTTGTTACAAATACTCATAGTTAAATTATATTAGATGTATATAGGAAGCATAAATAATTGCCTTTTTATTTTTCTCTCGTAGACAAAAAAAAACGTATATATGCTGTAACATAATATGTTTTGAAGAGCTTCAGAGCAATCAAATGCTACATCTTATTTCTTTCTTGCGTAACAAGTAACCTAGAAGTTTCTACCACAAGCTATCTCTTAGGGAAAGTCGCTAGAGCTATATGACCTCAGTAACCAGAAGCATCATTCTGCACATGGCAACAAAAAGCTAAACCCTGAATTCTCCTTGATTAAAGGCGGCGGCTCGATATCAGCAATATCCATCCGCTCCATCGATTTCGATAAATCATCTACCGAGAAAGGAATGCTGCCAAATAAAAACAAGTATAAGAATCAAACCCTTCTCAGATTTTTTCTTCTTGAGTGTAATTTTAGGGTTTAGATCTTATCTGTTTCCAAGAGATTTCGATAATCCAAAAAAACCAAATGCAGAAACTCCCTAAACTGTATCTAGCTAAACCCTGAACTCTAAACCTTGAACTCGTGGATTAACTAATTCAGGGTGTTATTAATTTACCTGGAATCATCATCCAATAGGAAGGAGTTGCTAACTGCATTGTTTGAATCTTCAGTCATTAACACCCTCATATTTGCTATAACCTGCAGTAAAACATCGATCAAGAAACCGACATATCCAGAAATTCTAAATTTTGATAAGAACATGGAATTGATGCATATTATAAAATTACATCAGGGGAGACGCTATGTGTGCCATATTTGTCATCCCAGTACATCGTACTGATTCGATATAACTGTTGAATGCTGAGTACCTGCAAATATTTCGTTCAACATGGAATCTCGTTGTTTTGTAACGTCAAAAAAGCGGTTTTTATTTCTTTTTCTCCATTCTGCAAAGTAGATAACTTACCGGGCAAAGATCATGACTTATCTCGTCGAGAGATTTCTTTGGTTTTTGGTGTATGACCTGAGTTGAGAAGAAGACATTTCATATGATGACTCAGCCGCACAGAGTGGTGATAGGAAGTAATAAAGTTTACAGTTGTATGGACGTTACCAGAAACCCGATGGCCTGTCTGATATGTTTCAGTTCATCCCAAGAAGAACCTGCATACTGCAATTGCAGTTTCTCTCTTGCATCAGTGAATTTGTTTACCAGTAAAAGAAGAAGAAAGAAGAAAAAAAACAAGTGTAAGTACCTCATCGGTCGCCTTATAACACCAATGTTCTAACTCGGCTAATCCTGCTTTGACATATTCACCGTTGCTGAAGGAACAACACTCTCGTCTCAATAAAAGACTGCAGAGACAAGAAAAGAAGCTTTAGTATAAAAACACCGATAAAAACATGTATAAAAACTCCGATGAACGGGAAAACCTGTTGAACAGTTGAACATTGATGAATGAGAATATTTGCGTGAACACCTTCCGAACCAAGAATGGAGGTACCTAAACCAGAGAATCAGAAAACGAAACCCATTATGGTGGTTCAAAACCTTTGTTTTGAATGCAAATTGAAGAACGGAATATTCACAAATACGAACTCACATGGTTAGATTTCAGCGTATTGAGGAAATTTGTAAGGCTCTTCACGATTCCTTGCCAATGAGCAATCAATGCCTGCTGACCTGCGGTGTTGGCAACTGAACGAGATGCTCCCTTCACTAAACTCGCCCTTGATGTTCTCGGCGCCTATTTTTACATGACCAAAAAGATTTTGAGGTTTTATATTTTGGAAGAAGGCTGTAACCTCACATTGATTTAGCTCTTTACCTGAATGCACAATCCAAGAAGCGGAGAAATCTCTTTCTTCAAGTTATCCCGAACCATTCCATATATCTTCTCGACATATGCCGTGAGCTGTTGCTTGAAAAGTAGAGCCGGGTATTTGGCTTCAACTTGCCTTAAGGTATCCACTCCACCACCCACACCACCATTTATCATGGAAAGATTCACTCCTTGGGGTGACCCTCGGAAGCTCTAGAGCAAAGATAAACATTCGTCACTTTGAATTATCGAAGAGAAAAAGATGTACACCTAAGTTCTTTGATTATAAATGCATGTGTGGTCACGCAAATATGTATACAAAAAACACACAGAGAGAGAAAGAGAGAGAGAGAAGAATTCATGGGTAAAACGGGAAAGGCAAACGCCTTAAAGAATCCGAGATTTATGGGTTGTGAGATTGAAACCTTCAGATTATAAGTACCTGAGTCATTCTCCCAAAGAGAGTGGCGGAAGATGAACGACGTCTTTGTGGAACCATTCCAGTGGCACCACTAGCTTTCAGAGTGCGCTGGAGGAGTAAAAGGAGAGTCGAGGCATTGGATAACCAATACGCTAGAACTTCGTTATTGTCTTGCGTCTGAAAAAAACAAAAACAAACTTTGAGAAATTATTCCAATGCACGCTCTTTCGGGCCGAGAATTAGTAATCATTGATACCTAAGGAAGTTCAAACCAACCTCAATAGCATGGCCAATTGTCTGAATAATCCGATCAAAGACACTAGTTCTTTCAACCTCGAAAGATCTCCACTGCAAAAGGCATTTGTATATGATACAAGCTGCAGTAGGTCTGTTCCCCTGAAAACCCAAGTGTTGAGCTATACATCGGATAAGCAACTCCTGGTTTTCTTGCTGCTTCTCGTTTAGAGTTTTCTGTGGCTTATCCTCCACTTCGGAGAGCTCCCTATGAATCATGGAATTGCTATGCAAATCCTAGTATTGATTATGTCGTTAATCCATCAGAAAACAAAAATTAAACCCTAAAATGAATGAACTCTGGTTAATTTAAATGAAAGTAATACTGTAAATTGCTTTGATAAATAAGCAAATCAATGGGTAATGTGCGTACCATACTACTAGGCCTTCCATCTACAGCCAAATGACCACTCTCTGAACCTCTCTGCTATTTTACAAACAAATGAGAAGTCACACACTTCAGAAAGAAAGCAAGAATACAAAGCCTGGTTTGGTTTTTCCAGTAAGATTACCTGTAAAATTGACCTGGAGCGACCAGAGAGGAACTTATTTGGTGCCATGGACAAAGCTTGTTGCCGTAGTACTTTATTCTCCGATTCCAAGTTGGTGCATTTTTCTTCCAGTCTGATCATATAAACGACAAGTTTTGGTTCATCAAACAATAAATTTAGCAGCATGATCATGACTCCACATGAATACACAGAAACAGTTTTTCCACCACATTTTTTGATATAATCAGTGATGGTGAGGAGGAAATGAGTAATTTTTTTTTTTACATGCTCTTACCTTGTCAAGGATTCTTGGAATTGCTGTAGTTTCTTCTCCGTTTCTTCCAACTTTTTCCTTCTTTCCTCAAGAGACTCTTGAGCTTCATCAAATTTCTTCACTGCATCATCAGCCCGTTGCTTCTCGGTTTCTAGGGTAGCCTGTTGAAACATCAATTATGACCGATAATAAGAAAGCATCTGTAACGAAGCTTGCAAGTTGAAACACACCAAGAAACAGATCCAGAAATGTGCTTCCAAATATTGTTCAGAGTACATTCGTACACATATATGATCAGACATCAAACAGCAAACCAGTCAATCATCCGATATGTTTCATCATTGATATCTTCGGTATCAAAAGGAAAAGTTTAAATTTCTAGAAATCATTATTCAGCACAAATGCATGAACGAGATGGAGTTTTTCATGATTTCTAAATTCATTTGCAAATTGTGGGGCTGAGATATTGAATACACAAAGAAAACTGCAGCATCTGGACCATATAATACCTTTAGACCGTCCACTTCTCCCGTCAATGATTCTATCTTTTTGGTATCTTCAACTAAAACCTGGGTTTCTTTAACAACAGGAGGCGCTTCTTCAATGGCTTTCTTTGCAGCTTCCCGTTCCTTAACAAGCAGAGCATTTGTTTCGTCAACTTTTTTCCGCATTTCCTCCAACGAACCCTGTAATTTCGTTATCTCCTGAGCCTTTTCTTCTTCCAAATCAACCTGCAAAGTTAATACAAAACTTTATACACTTTCTTCAAAAATGATCCCATCAAAATATAAAAATGCATCAATAGAAAATGATGATTCCATGTGACGTAAAATGCTTACCCTCAAGCGTTTCTCCAACTGGACACGGTATGTGAGTTCCTCTACTTTCTTTTCAAGCATATCCTTCGCTTCTTTCAGTGCACCCGTTTCCCTCGCAGCCTGCAGATAGAGAAAACATAGAACTGAAAATTCACATGCAGGATAAGTGGCGTTCTAGTATCTTATGAAAGTCTTTTCTTACCAGGTGATGTTGAAACTGAAACATGAGACGTAAAAGACCTATCTATTTGTTTCAACTTCAAGATAACTAGAAACTAGAATCCCGATTTTGAAAGGGTTTCTACCGCCCAGAGAGAGAGAAAGAGAGAGAGAGATTTGTAAGCCTACAAAGTACACATACATGATTACCCAACTCAAAGTACCTAGTATGGGTTTCATAAAAATTAGGTTGAACAATTCAAGATGCATATGCGAACATGTCTCAGATTATTAAATTGATGATAGGACGATGCAAGGTGTAGTTAACAGCAAGAAAACCGATATTACCATTTTGAGCTTCCGAAGTTCTCTCTTGGCGAGTCTTCCTCTCCATTGAGTCTGTGACACAATCACTCCTCTCTGTAGCTTCTTGTAGTATAAGGTTGCTCTGTGACACCGATACTTAGCCTGCCATTGATGACAGAAATCACATGTCCAGAAAGGCAGAAAAGCAGATTTAATTGTACATGTCAATGTGCTGAAGCAGTGTACAATGCTCGTGAGAATATGAACCTGAATAATCGTAGCAGCCTTTGTTTTCTTCCTAAACCAAAATTCTTTACGAGCATCCATTGCTCTTAAACCCGTCTGTACAACAAGAACAGCTTCATGGAGCTTGTTATAGGATTTTCTAGAATGATATCTCCGAGCATTCTTCTGAATCTTTACTGCAGCCACTTGTCTTCTCAGGTTTTCAAAAACTTTGCAGGAAAGTCTCCCTGCAATGTAAGTACGAGAGGAAAAACGATTTATTAACTACTTTTTAGATTAGAAAATCACACACGTCACGAGGAAATATATAAAACCTTTCTAAGTTCTCACTAAGAGCATCACAAGATCTGTTTGAGATAGTATGTGATCAATCAGATAGCTCACCTCTACAAATGGCTTGCATAGAAATTGTGGCCTCCCTCAAAGCAATGAACCTTTTTCGGGCCTGATGAGTCCGTATCCGTCTCTGAATCTTTTTTGCAGCACTGTTAAGCACCTCTGCTCTTCTGGTGTCTAGTTCAGCCATCTGACCAGCTCTCAAGAACACCTTAGTTTTACCAATCTGCATTACAAAACAGGACTTTGCATTTCAGGTGCATTGTTTCACCCTTGAACTATTGCTGCAACATATATGATGGTTCACTGAAGTAAAGACTCTTGCAGAATGGTTACCTGATATCCTTTAAGACCCATCTTATCCAATATCTTTTTACAAGCAACCTTCTCGTCATAGCTTCTCAGAATAAAAGTCAGAAATTGAGTATAGTCAAGTTAGCTCTTAGATAACTGTAGAGGTTCCATTACAAAGAGAAACAAAAAGAAAAGGTACTCACTTCCCTTCTAGAGCCTCGGTAGCTAGAAGTCCAAACCGGTTTATGAACTCAAAGAAATGTTTGCGAGTGGGATATCCCGCACAACTGATTCTGATTGCCTCTAAAACACCCTACAGTGACAAGAACCAACACCGGCTGAGTGATAAAAGAGCCCCTTATGACCCAACTTGTTCACGATTACGATATATTACGTATTTATACTTACACCGCATCGAAGTTGTTGCATGATGTTCACATTCTCAAATATGGCAGGTTTTAGAAGGTTGTTGGGCTTCACACATCTGATGTAATGAGGCTCCGTAGAATTTAGGGTTTCCATCAGTTGTTGGAGTTGCAACTGCATCAACCAGTTCCGACACGTTATTCCATACATTGTCATGCAAAAGAACATTTCATATAATGCGTCTAGGCTAGTTACTCCAGCCCTTCTCCACAAGTCTTAAATTTGTGAAAACATCACAACCGAGAGTAGTTAATAGTTTCTTTCTCCCAACAGCTGGAGATGATACTTCTAACAACTATATGTATACCAAATAAGCCTAGTTACCTTAAAGCGAGAACCAATCGATGAAAACTTAGAAGATTTAGATGTTTCTTCTGGGAGTGGAGGGAAAAGGCCCACTACGAAAGGACAACTGGAAGCACCCAACAAATTCTGATGTTCAGGGACCACATAATCCTTGTTCTTGTCCAAAAATAGATCGGACTGATACAGGACCTGAAAGGAAACACGCAAACATGAAACTAGTGTGACAGCTGCTAGTGTTGTTTGATATAACATTTTATTCAAAAGGAAAAAGAAGATACCTCTCCAGCATAGTGGGAGATGGTGAAATCTGTACGAGAGAGTTTTGGCTTAACGAACCGCTTATGGACTTTAAACGTCTGATAAAGCTTGTTGGAAAATGTTTCATGGGTCGACTTTGGAAACATGCTGAAGAATCATTAAAAAATTGTTAAAGAAATCTCACAATGAACAGAATCTCCTCGGACTTTTAAAATAGAATCCCCCCATGAGTCATCGGATGATAATATTACCAAGCTTCATCAAGGAGAGCAATGATTCCACCAGGTTTCTGCAGATGAAAAGAGAAACAGGAATAATGAGACACAATACCAACACCTTTGTGGAGTTATTTTTTATTCAGTGGTCATTTCCACAATTCAAGACTCCGTAAATGTAATAATGCTAAGAAATTACCTTTTCTATAAGATCAAGAACATCTTGATTGTCCACAAACTCAATGTAGCTCCACTCTATTGCTTCTTTTGTGTACTCTTCCTGTTCCATCTTGAAAACGTGCTGAGAACAGTAACAGAAGCTTGTAAATGCAAATATATCATGCGTGAAACACAACTAGGAAAAGTTTTATTTATAATCGAGTAATCACCTGATTGAAATGTTGCTGCAACTTCTCGTTAGTAAAATTAATACAGAACTGTTCAAAACTGCACCAAAATGGTGTTAACAGAAGAAACACAAAAGAGAGGCAGAATGCATAACTCAGAATCTCGGCTTGCAAAATTCTAACCTGTTAGTTTTAAAGCTCTCAAATCCGTAGATATCGAGGACTCCAATAAGAGATTTAGAATTGGCATCTTGTCCAATCGAGTTATTAATCTTGTCTACCAACCTGCACATAACTAGAGATACTCACTTAACCAAATCTGTAAATATCAGTTTTTGTTATGATACTTGTGGAAAACCAGCTGTTAAACCAGCCACATACCAATCAAAGAGTCGTGAGTAAACTGTCTTAGCTAGACCATCTCTGCTGATTACGGCACTCTGTGGATCAAGACTTCTCTTGATAACTTCCTCCGGTGTAACCATGACACGCTTACATAATGCATCTTCAAGGGCATGTACATCACACCTGAAATGGAGCTTCAAATTAGTACCTGAATTGCGGAACAGATACAAAGTCTTCTCCGGACAAAACACTTACATTAGAAGTTCTGCAACTGTTTTAAGATGGAATTTCGCCTTGTCATCCTTGGGAACTGAAGAATCCACTTCCTTTCCCTTAGTAAACTCGATGTTACCGATATGAAGAATTGCAGCTACCACCCTGAAAATTGCTTCCTGATGACGTATACGAGAGAGACCATCATCATCAATTTTCAAAGCGGAAAGAACTTAAGTTGAATTTTGCATCATAAGATTAACTGTTTACACAAAAATACCTGTTCTTTTTCACTGATCCCAACGATGTCCATAGCTCTCCTTGTGGCAAGATAATCATGGGCATCACTTATACCGACAAGTTCGTAGCATTTTGACTGATTCAGATAATGAAATGTCTTTGGATGTCCCAGCTTGTATTTTTCTATTTCCTGTCAGTGCTATGTGTTATGGAAAGAGTACTCTACGATGATTGAAAACCAAGAGTCCACCTAAATTAGATGATGTGTGACAGTACCTCTTGTGGTGCAGCACAAAGAAGATAAAAACAGTGGTAGTTGCGTTCAGGATCAGAAATTTGACAGACACGAGACCTCTCGAGAAGATATGTTCTTATTGCTGCTCCAGATATCCTTCCTTGCTTATCAAATTGAATCTCAACAAATTTACCAAAGCGACTGTGGCAAAAATAAATAAACGATCAGATGAAATTCCAACAAATTTGTTAGGAGACAAACAACTTCCAAATGCCAGTGACTTTACATAAGTTGAAGCGTATAAACTTTTGTTTCACCTGGAATTGTTATTCCTGACAGTTTTGGCATTACCAAAGGCTTCAAGGACAGGATTTGACTGCAAGTAGATGTTAAAAAATCTTAGCATGATGTCACAAATGTATAATAGGACCGACCCGAAAATATTCAGATAGAAAATCGTCGTACTTCAAGAACTTGTTGTTCAACTGTCCTTCCCTCGGTAACGGCACGACCTCCAAGATATGCCAGGTATCTCATAAGCATCTTAGTGGTCTCAGTTTTTCCTGCTCCACTCTCACCACTTACCAGAATCGAATTGCTTTTCCCCTCGTTTATCATTGCCCTGAACAAAAAATGGCATATCAGTTAGTAAAAGACTGTCACAGCATATATTTATGGCTGACAACTAATAAGGCTACCTGTATGCAACATCGGCAACCGCAAACACATGAGGACTGAGTTCTCCAAAAGGTGCTCCCTTGTATTGTTGCATCATATGAGCATCGTAAATGTGAGGGAGACGTTGAAATGGATTAATGGCGATAAGTATATTTCCGGTGTATGTCTGGGATGACAATGTCACACAGAAAAATATATTAATGTCAACAAAGACAATGTGATCGAGTCATAAAATTAAGAAGATTCGAGTACTGACATAGATTTCATTAAGTTCATATCTGATTTTTAAGTTCTGAAGAACTCCAGGCTCGTGCAGATAAGAGAGCTTTGTCATGTCATCCACTCCACCTGCAGGAGCCTCCAAATCTTTTGGGTATATCTTTGACAATTTTGCAGTGACCTGAATTAGTAACAGAGCAGGAAATCAGTTTTTTGAGAGTATTAGACATCGAAAATAAATAGAAATTTGAAAATTTTAAGTTAGGTGATTGACTTGCCTTCTTTCCGTTCGAGGCTTGGATATCAACTTCTTGTCCGTTAATCTTTTCAACCTGCCCATCAATCCAAGCCACTTCTGGGTCTTCAACCCAGACATGAGATCCTACAATGATGTTAACTGGAGTTCCCTGCAGTTTGCCAAGCACGACAGTATTTATTTTTTTTTTTTTTTTTTGCTACAGACAAAGATAAATAGGAGGACCAGCAAGAAGATGCCCTATGAGGGTACCGCTACTAGTGTTTGTGAGGACGAACTCTAATCTGTGGAACCAGCATAATGTGACATTTTCCGTATCTGTGGAACCAGCATGCATTAGGCAATAATGATGGATTTGATTGCTAGCATTTATGTTCCACTCTTCTCTTAATTGGTTTCATATCTCGATGTTCCATGCTCTATTGTTTCCTACCGAAACAGAGTGGTTAGGTCATGGACATTGGCACATAGAGATACCAGAAGTGATGTTGTGCAGACTTAACAACAATAAACCCCAGCCTGATCCACAGACAAGCAGTTAGATTTGATCATGAATCTAATTTTCTTACATCTTTCTTTTTAACATATTGTCCTGATTCCTTCTGTTCTACAAATGCGGCGATCAAATTGAACAATCAATATGGAAGCTAGCAGCAATAAGTTCTGGGAATTTAGCAACAACAGATGTACAAAAGAAACAGTGAATTTCACGTACCATTTTAGGGCTTCAAATCCGAAGCTCAGCCTTATTCTTCCTTCACAATAAATTCAATCCAACAAATCCCTAATTCTCAATAACATTTCACTTCAACATACATGAACAAGTGACTTGCCATGCAAGAAAGCTTCGAATTTTGAATATCCCTTCACAAACCCATCGAGATTCAAAGCACCCAGATCAAAATCAACAGAACCCAATCTCCCAACTTCGCAATCTAACCAAAAGAATACCACATTTCCAAACATCCACACGAATTAGGGTCAAACAGAACAAAAACAGAAGGACCCAATCACCGGAGGACGAAACCAAACCATAAGATCGAGGATTTGATCGACCGGAATCGAGGTCCAGAGCGAAAAAGGGAAGGAAAACGAGAAAGAGTGAGAGAGAAAGAGAAGAATGAGGGGAAGTGGATGGAAATCTGAGAGTGACATTGTTCTTCCCCAAAGATGGCCTCTGACTGGTGTTTCCCACCCTTCAATTTCGCGCCAATTTGTGGCCCCTAACCGAGTCGTCCTCTTCCCTTCTCCCTCCCTCTCTCTCTCTCTCTCTCTCTCTCTCTCTCTCTCTCTCTCTCTCTGAGAATTTGCTTTGTAAATATTTTTTTGGCTAAAAATAGTAAATTTGTTCGTCGCATGATAGTTTCTTCGGTCCATCCAGTTAGTGTGGTTATTTGGCCTCTTTGATTCGATTGCTTCGATTTCGATTTTTATTCGAATGTATTCGGGACAATTTCAATTCGGACCCACATAAATAAAATAAAAAATCCCATGACCTAAAAACAATTTAGATATAAATTTTATTAAAACAAATGAATAATCAAACCTTATTCAAATGTAAAAAAATATAAAAAAATATTATTTTAATGAAAAAATATTCCAATTAAATGGAACACAATGTTATAAATATAGTCGAATATGAAATGCAGTCAAATACTATACAAAACAATACGTCAAACAAACTATTTGGAAATCGAAAAGAGGCATTTAGCATTCTATTTAAGAATCTGTAAGAATGATTTGACAATATTTTAGTTTTTTTTTTTTTAATCAGGTGTTTCATCGGACCTTCGGTCCAATTACATCCAACCTGAATAGGTGAACCACCTTCCTACAATTAATTACATTCCACCTAACGAACCGGCCACCACCTACGCCTAACGATCTCAAGAAGACCCGACCACCAGAAACGCCGACCACTCGCCGACCATGGAGTGGGTATCTTAGTTTATTAGAACGATTTAATAAGTATTTGAAAAATGGTGGTTTAAAGAAATTGTGATTTGTGGATAAAGTTTTTTGTTTTAGAAAATCGGGTGTCCTAGACCGGGGTCTAAACTAACCTCGCAGTCGAAAACAAGCCATGTGATTAGAATATGTATTATTTTTTCTAACTTGAAACTTGAACTCGGGATGAGACAGACGTTTTGCGTCCCCTTTTCACCGGTTGAACTATCCAAATTGGGTCAAGTTGTGTGATTTAAATCTCACCGATTTAATTTGCTCAATTAGATGATGGCTTGATTTTGATTTTTGTTTTGATAGGATGGACATTTCGGTACATTTTTTAAAATCGAACAATATTGAATCGAAAAATGTGGTATTGTTATCGAACCGAATCATGAACGATAATTTCTTTAGAAAATTAAATTTTTCGAAACCGAATCAAATATTTTAAAAATTTTAAAATTTTCTTAAAAAAACAAAATCGAACCAAACGGAATATAAAATAATAACCGATTGGTTTATATTTTTATAAAACTCAAAGAACCAAACCGAATGTTCCCGAATCGGATTCGAATCGAATACCGAAACGTCCACCCCTACCCAATGAAAAATCAATATTTAATTTAAATATTTATAAAATTTATAAATAAATTTAAAAAGAAAAAGGAAACCATGGGACCTGTGACGCCATTGCAAAAGAAATGGTCCGCCCGTGACTTGCTATCGAGCGGAAACCAACATTTGGGTGTCTGTCTCCACTGAAACCTTTAATTTACATAGTTTATATTTTTAATTTTGTTGATAAAAATTTAAAAAAAAAAACAGATTAAAACTGCACAGAGTATATGTTTATCAGTTTATACATTTTTGCTAGAAGTGGCTTAAAGATAAATTTTATTAATATCATTGATCTAATTAAAATTTAGCACACAACATATATCGCATAAAAAGATGATCGGAGATTATGGATTGCATATCACATAACAAGTGTATTATTAACATCGTATAAACTCGATAATATGTCTGACATAATTTGTTATTTAAGCTTACCTTTTATAAAATGCTTTTTGTTTTAGGAAAAACATACTAAATTTCTTTTGTATCTTAGATTTTTAGAGCAAACACAAAAATTATATTTATGTTTCTTGGATTTAACCTTATGATTTTATTTTATTTTTTTCAAATTTTATCTGATTTTAAATTAAAACTTTGATAGTTCCTATTTTTATTGAATATTATTATTTCTTAAATATTTAGTTGTTTTTATCTCACCAACCCAAAATTGGGGATGACTTTTATTTTGGGTTTTTGTTTTTAGTTTTTAGATTTTGGCTTTTGGTTTTTGGATTCTATAATATTTGAAAACTAAAAAAAAATCACTTTTGGTTTTTCATTGCTTTTTCTGGTAAAATGGTTTATCAAGTTTCTAGAAAAACTAATCTTATAAAAACTTGAATGATAATTTTTATTGAAGGAAAAGAAGAAGTATGCACATCTAACAATGAAGAAACGTTGAAAACAATAATATACAGAACATTATTCGGTAAACTATGTTCCATTTTCTATAGTTTTTTTGGCTTTTAGATTCTAAAAACTTTAAAAACTACAACCATTGAAGGCTTGGTTGTTGATACTCTAATTTTTGTTTTTGTATTAGCACTTGTAGGCTGTAGCAGTCGATTAACTTTTTATCACAATTTTTTAAAATTATCTTTTAAATACTATTGTTTAAATAATATTTTTATAAATGATATAATCAAAATTATAATACTATTAGTTTCAAATATTTATTCCAATTGAAAAATATATTAATTTATCATTTTTAAAAATTTATTACTATATAAAATTAAAAAAATTCAAATTTTAATTTATATTATATCAAAATATATAACTTTGTTATCTATTTTTTTTTTATCTTTTTATAATGTATTAAATTTTTTGTATTTTAATTTGTTTATAATTTTTTTGTATTTTATTTTTTAAAATTTTCAAGCCCGAAGCCCGAGCCGAACCCGAAAAAACCCATAGGGTCGGGCTCTGGGCCAAAAATTTTAGGTCCGTTGGTTTTTCAAGCTGGGCAGACCCGACCCGTAAATATTCGGGCTTGTGTCGGACTCGGGCCGACCCGACCCGACCCAACTATTTTGACACCCCTACTTTCTGATATAAGAAAATTAATTAATTTATAGCATTATTTAGAAAGTAAAGTACAAAACTTTGAGAAAATGATTTTATCCGTAGGCAGTTTGATTGCTTTCTATATATATATATATATATATATATAGTAAACATTGGTCTTTATTATGTTACATAAATCATAATTTAAAAATATAAAATTATAAAATCTTATTTACTTAATCAATAATCTTTTAAACTATTTTAAAATATAGATTTATATGCATGTTGGTCAAATAGTGTTTTACTTTGCGAAATTACACATGGTCTTAAACCGGAAAAGCCACAGGCCAAATAGCCCAATCCGACCGACAGTATTGACCGGTTTGTCAGAAAACGATTTAGCCAATTTTCATGAAATTAAGCATAAACCAACTCAATAGTCAATACTTCTAAAGTACATAACAAAGTACACCATTATAATAAGTAAGCAATTCATATTTATTCTCAATTAATCAAATATCCATTTGAAATTCGAAAGTTAAACCGGAAGACAAAATCCAGGGAACTAAACCCAAAAAAAGAACTATCGATACAATCATCGGTCAAGGATAACTCGAAAACCGGAAGTTTTGCTTCCGGTTTATGTTGCTCACTCTTTGAGAACTTTCCTGGCTGCAAAAATGAAGTCAAGAATCGTTCCGAGTCTTGATAACTGGAGAAGAAACCGATTCTGACTTGTAGGGTGAACATTTTCCGGCGAGAAAACGTACCGGAAAATTCAATGGTTCAAGTATGATTCCCAACCTTCAGTTTCAAGCCTCTCGCCTTTAACCATGTTCTCTGCTCTCATGTCTTCTTGGTATTGGCTCATCCTGAAGATACAGTCATCATAAGACATTTGTCTGGTCGGAAGAGAGAGAAAGAGAGAGAGAGAGAGAGAGAGAGAGAGAGAGAGAGAGAGAGAGAGAGAGAAAACCTGGAGATAAGGTCAGAATCGGAAATTCCCAACATCCGGACAGCGAGCAAAGCTGCGTTGGTGGCGTTGTTTATCGCAACTGTTGCAACTGGGACACCCCTTGGCATCTTTTTTTTTTTTTACAAACAAAAAATAAAAATCATGGGTAAGACAATGCAAACAATTATGAAACACCCGAAACCCGCGGGTACCGAGCAAGAGGAGGAGAGGTGGCGAGATCGCGTTGGCGTGATCGCGTTGGCGTCGGCAAAAGCATTGAAGGGCGATGGAGGCAAGAGCCAAGAGGGCTGAGCGACGCTTTGCTTAGAGTTTTTCCGTGATTTCGTGAAACCCGACCCGACCTGATGGCAGCCAGTCTTGAATTATAGCCCTAAATCGGGATTCAGGATCAAGAGGAGAGGGTTGAGACTGGAGTGTCCTGAGTGAGGAGCGAGGGCGATTCCACCTCGCCCTCACAGCTTGTCTCCAAGTACATCCCCTAACTCTCTCTCCTTGTCCTCTGGCTTCACCCACCTTCGGTCTTCGCCTCATGCCCCTCCCTCTCCTCACACATGCCCCTCCCTCTCCTCACACTTGCCTCGTCGGCCTCTCACGAGGGCAAGGCTGAGATATTTCGGCCGTGAAAACCATGTGGGCGAGATCAAAGCCGGGTACCCTAAAAAAACTCGGATACGAGACCCATGCCCACCCAACTCAAAACAAATAGTAGATTGCCAATCATAATTACCTGAACGATGGAGAGAAGTGAATCAACACCATCTAATCGGGTCGCACGTACAGGAACTCCGATCACAGGCAAAGGAGTAAGTGAAGCGACCATTCCTGAACTCAAAGGCATACTTGGATCACTAAAATGCAAAAACTTGACCACAGAGCCAAAATTCATTGTTTCAGACAAACCTGGCAAGTGAGCCGCACCACCAGCGCCGGCAATTATGACCTGAACTCCTCGGCTACAAGCTGAAGTTGCGTATGAGAACATCAACTCGGGGGTTCGATGAGCTGAAACTATCCTCACCTGTAAAACCAAACCAAACCAAAAGGATGATGCTTTAATGTTAAGATTATGCCAAAAGAGACCTTTTCTTAGAGAGTCCTAAGATTTATATTTACCTCGTGGGTCACACCGAACGTGCTGAGAATTTTGGCTGCATCCTTCATCACAGGAAGATCCGAATCCGAACCCATTATGATCCCGACACGAGGCGTCTCTACAATATATATAGACAGTTTAATATTGTAGATCCATTTTAAGATATCATCAAAGTCCTGGCCAAGAAATGCATGTGCATGATGATGATTCAGCATATTTGGTCAAGATCGCCAACGGCATACACCTCTAGAAGAAATCAGTTCAAAGATTGAAATTTTTTTATGGATTTAACATTTACCAGAGATACAAACACAGACAACGGGAACTGACCTGCTGTTTCATCACTTTCTTCGTTTAACATGCATTGCAGCCTTTGCTCTACAACACCCAAAGAAGGTCCAACAAGGGTAATGTGACCCATCTTCCGTTGCTTTCTCATTTCTGAAATGAATATATATATATACATATTTTATCATTGAAGTTCATCAGTAATCATATGCTTTGCTTTGGCCGAAACCGAGCAGAACGTGAAAGGACAAGGTGATCGATCATACCTGGCTTGTCATACCAATGTACAGTTGCCCCTCTAATACTCAGAGCCCTTCCTATAAGATTATGAGCCAAATTGAAACCGGCTTCTCCCTAAGGGTAAACAAATAGGCAACTTCACTTTAGAACACAATGAGAAAACAAAAAATAATAATGAAACACGTACAATGGTAAAAATAAAGAAAAGGGCTGTGAACTTACGTCCTCTTCACCCAGCATGTTGTACATAATGGCAGCCGGAGTTTTCATCGATGGGTCACCCAGTGGAAGACCGACCACAGCCCGCAAGTGTTGTTCATATTGTGAAGTATAACATGACTCAATTGTATGATGGCCACTATTGTGCGGTCTAGGTGCAACCTCGTTTAGCAAAATCTGAAAAGGACTAAAAACTTTGGTTAGCTAATATCGAATTAGAAATGGAAACTTCAGTTTCTTTCCCTCTCATTCATGGAATGTAAATCAGAATGCCTGAACTCATTACCTGACAATCCTTTGTCAAGAACAACTCAACTGCAAAAACACCAGCACCATCTAAAGAACCAACAGCCTTTTGAGCAACATCAGTTGCAAGTTCCTTAATCTTCCAGGGCACATCAGCAGGCGCTTTAACTATGTGGCATATGTTCTCCCTATAACCAAAAAAAAAAACAAGGGAAAGTATTAGACATATAGAATCCGTCTGCCTTGAATCTCATATATATATGATACTGCACTTTGGAATACCTGTGGATAGTTTCAACAACAGGATAACAAACCATGGAACCATCCCTTCCCCTAGCGACAATAACAGCCAACTCCTAAAATTAAACGCATAAATTATTATATGTATTGAGGCAAAGATAAATGATTGCAACAAGAAAAGATTCATGATCTAAGTTTGGACATCAACCTTCACAAATGGTGCCCATTTCTCCACGTACAAACCACGGTCAAAACCTCCAAGGGCTGGGGAAAAAAGAAGAAGTTGTAAAGTTAAAACAAGCAACTGATGCAAACAAAAATCACAATGGAGAACTCAGATCTGACAGAGTAGAAAAAATTTAACATCGATAAATGATCAGTGCTAGAGATGCTGCTTGATTACGAGGATTTTCTAGGAAATATGACTGTTAGTAAAAAAATTATGTCAGATAACAAAAACTTCATTCCCTGTTAGATACATAATCTCTGTGTGTAACTTGTGGTTTCTTATTTCCACATCAATTGTGACATTTTACTCAATAAGCATGTAAAATATTAAATATCTCTAATCCGTGAAATCACATGACAAGATGGACACATAAACTACATGGTTAATCAAAGGATTACCAGTTACAGCATAAGAAAGCTCATTTTCACTTTTGGCAACTGCATTTCCACGCCCATCATATGCCAATCGTTTGCTCTTGATCATAAGAGGGTATCCAAAAGTTTCACCTGCTCTTTTTGCTCCTTCCATATCATCTATCTGTTTAATGGTTAAAGAATTTATTTAATCTTCAGTTTATTTGTAGCTATTTGACTGTTTATATCAATAAACCGGAGAAAGTGCCTAACCTGCATAAACTCAGGAAGCGGGATGCCATGCTGAGAAAAATGAACTTTTTGCATATATTTATCCTAAAATATAAAAATATCGAACATTTAATCCATATTGCTTGGCAAAGTACAATCATTAGGAAAGAAGCAAAAGCAACTAGCATGAATAGTTCTTTTTACTTAAAGAAAGACCATTTGATTAAGTTACAAACCTGGATAATCCGGATAGTTGAGGCTTTAGGTTGGCAATCCACTCCTTGTTGCTCGAGTTTTTCTAGTGTTTCCACATCAACATGTTCAATCTCCACAGTCAAAACTCCACATCTTACAACCATGAGAAACAGAAAAGAGATAGAGTCGTCGCCTTTTTTACGGAAGTAAACAAATGAAACCTAAAGGATAAAAGAAACAAACAAAAAAAGGAACCTTTTTGCAAACTCTTTAACCGTTGCACTGTTGTCAAAGCTTCCAACCATGTGACTGTAAGACAATGCGCTAGCCGGGCAATTCTCAGAAGGGTCTAAAACCATCACTTTGATAGCCATTTGAGAAGCTGCTTCACAAAGCATGCGGCCCAATTGTCCACCCCCAAGGACCCCAACAATCATCTCTGATAGTCCATGAACGGGCGTGTCCTCTTTCCTCTCGCTAGTACACCCAAAAAACCCTATCACAGTTAGAGACCAGTTCTTTTCCCAAACCAGACAAGCTTCAAGTACTCAGTTCGAAACTAATAAGACTAAAACACACAATTCTCAGCAAATTCAAACAGAGTATTGCCATTATTTTCTTCACTTTCTTTCTTTGCTGCAAGCCGTTTAAAATTCAGAACTCCAATATAAGTTCCTCTTCGTGACAACATATTCAACCTCATAGACAAATTTCAGAAAACAATCGAAACCCAGCTCAGCAAAACGCTGAAGAATGAAAGGCTTTGCTCTAACAGCATCGATACTCTGGATAAAATCTTAAAAAATTCAAAATTTGAGAGCAGCTAAATTGAGCCATCCTTGCACAATCAACCATGCCCTGAGATTATAATCGAAGTATCCAAGTCCGAGACCGAAAGAGTCAGAGGTACTCACCTGATCGGAAATTTCCCGTCAGAGCGACGCGTCGCCGTGGCCCGACAAGCCAACACCGGATTGAATCTCGTCGACGGTGAAGAATGAAGGTTATGCGGCTTCTCCATGAAGGAACCCCGGCAAGGGCGGACTCTTCTCGCCGGAGAAAGCCCGACTCGAGAAGCAGAAGGCGAAGAACGTAAGATGGGATCAGATTTTCCGGCGACGGATATTGCTGCGGAGCTCTGCTTCAGAATCATCTTTTTTCCCTCCACTGTCTGGAAAAGAGAATCTTTGCAGCTTTTATTGCCACCCTTTTTTTTATGACTTTATAAAAAAAAACCTTTTTATGAATTTTGTAAAAAAAAAAAAGTGTGTTCTTCTCACATTTGATTTTAACACTCAAAATTATAAATCATGTTTTCTAAATTAATAAATTATAAATATTTCCAATTTTTCTTTATGAATTTATAGATTCCATCTATATCATTATCTTCAATTCATCAAAAGATCCTCCGATCCTCCGGGTAGGGATGTCAATAGAATCCGAAAAATAAATAGATGAAAATTTATTATTGTTTTTTTCAAATTATTAAATTATTATTATTATTATATATTATTATTTATTTTTTATTAAATAGAAAAACCTGAAACCCGACTCGAACCGTCAGAAGTCCTATAGGGCCAGGCTCCGGGTCACCGATTATAGGCCCAAAAAATAAATAGACGGATCGGTCCGACCCGAAAAAATCTAACCCCGAACTAAGTCCGACCCGAACCCGACCCAGCCCGCCCATTTTACAACCCTACTCCGGGGTATTGCGTAAATTCACAACATTAATATTTACTATATATGTAATATATCACATTTTGGCCATTTAAATAGAAAATGTAACTGCAATCTTACATAATTTCACCACAGCCCCCATATATTCAAAACAATCAATCTAGTCCCCAAAAGAAAACCAAACGTAGAATACAAACAAACCCACACTCATTCACAAGTGTTAGAAAGAACGAATACACTGCGAATCTATACGATGAAAAAAAAATTAACAGTTGCCCAAGAACTTTACCCCATAAGAAAAAAAAAATTACGGGGTCTAAAAGAATACAAATGGAAGAAAGGATCAAACCGTAAAATCATAAAAATTCCTTTAACTGTGCACAAGGGTAACCCCATGAAGATGCTGTACAGTTTCTGGAGCTTTTCACCATTCTTTTTTTTTTCTTTTAGTTTATGTAATCTTCTTCAAAGATCCTTGGTTTGATAACTTCTCCAGTAAGCTACCTGACAAAAGAAGATAGAAGCACATAAGGAAATGGAAGCTTATAGCTTAAAAGAGTTCCCTCTACTAGGGTATATGAATTCAAAGCATTCAAAACCGAACCGAAATCTAATCATCATAACCAAACCAAACCAAACCAAATCGAGGTTCTAGTATGGATTCCTCAAGTTGAACCAGTTTTTTTCAAGGGTTAGGATCGGTTTTGAAAACAGGGAAATGTTTTTTCTTCACAAAATTGTTTAAAATGGCGAACCATCAACAATCAAAGAGTGTACATTTCCCATTCTCTCTGTATCCAGTTAGTAAGGCAAATACAGATTGAATATTAGAAATTTTCGAGTTATTTAAATCCAAATTTATACATCTATGTATCATGAGATATTACCCCGGTTTTAGAATCATTTTGGTCAGATGGCAAAAAACCGACTACTCGTAATAATTTTTCGGTATCCAAAGTATCCAAATGCGAGTTTATATCCAAAATTTGGAATTTTCCAACATACATATTATATATTAGGAGAGTTGGTTTGGGTCAGGTATCCAAAATATTTCGGTTACCCGAATCCAATCCCAAAATTTCCCGATGTTATATAACCCGATATCATCTCATATACTACTTAGGTATCCAAGATTCAGGGGTTTTTTCCCCAACCCTAGTGGTTGGTATCCGGCTAAACAGTTGGTCTTAAGCTGAGCCGGTTCTGGAACAAAACACAGCTAAATGTCATGTAAGAAAGTGAGAAACTGAAAAACACATACCTTTTGTGAAAGTTTCAACTGGCAGTCTCATGTCGCTTTCGTAGTATTTGCAAGTGAGAAGCTATTTCCTTGACAAATTGCACCCCCTCGCTCCCATGACCAAGTGAGTTTATAGCATTTTCTAGAAAGTATAAGTCTCCCTTTAACCTTTCGAGCCTTTCGTGCAGCTCAGAGACCTCATCTTCCACTGAAGAAGCCACATATTTGGATTTCTCATGGGAAGCATCGCCATTTACATGGTTCAGGCCATTTGATATGTCTGCATGGTTGGAACAAAGTTGGAGCTTCTTCTCTATCTTCTCCAGACAATCGGTGATGTATGATCTTTCATCGTCGAACCCTAGTGATGAGTTCTGTATCGTTCTCTTATGAGGAGATTCCGCTTCAGATGCCTTCTCTGCAGTCTCGGATTCATCCGGGTTTTTCAATGTTTCATGATGTTCTTCCGCTTTTTCCCTGTAAAACTCAAGCTCAGCTTCTAAATCTTGAATCACTTTCTCTCTTTCGGAGAGCAGTTCATTCAACTTCTGTACCGCTTCCATATCGTATTCGGCTTGCTCTTCCATCTCCCTCAGATTCTGTAAGGCTTCCATCTGGAACGACGCCTTATCTTCTTGTAACCTCGTGATCATAGCCATGGCTTGGTTTGCTGCAACTGTCGAGGCGTTTCTTTCTTCCTCCAGTTCTTTATACAAACCCGTCAGTAACTTCCTGTCGTGATCTACCTGCCTTTTTAACCGATCCATCTCACATTCTCCCTCGATCTCGTTTACAGCAACTCCATCCAACGATAAGTTGCTCTCGTTTCTCTCGAGCATTCTTTTCTGAAGTAGCAACTGCATATCATCGAGGTTTTTCATGTCTTCACTGCTTACCGATATCTTGGGGCTTATATCTCTTGGTGATAACAACTCAATCCCCTGAGAAGCTGATATTTGCGTAAGCAGTGATTTAAGGTCTTCACTGATTCTACAAGAATCTTTTCCTGTAAACTGCTCGGTTTGTACCCCCGAGCTTTGCTTCTGAACCCCATTGCTTACAGCAATCTTGTATGCATCCAAAAGATCCAGAGATTCATTCCTTTCTGTCAAAGAATCGTCTCGAGAAGGGTTTGTTTCCGTTGCTATTGGCATTGACATGAACGAAGAAGAATTCAATTCCGGAGCTGATTCTGGAGGCATTTCAGACACATAAAGGACCGATGAGGGATTTGCTTTAGGAGCTGGCTGAGTTGTGCTGTTTTCATCTCTGACGAGGTGAAGCTTGTTGTTTTCTGCAGTATTTGTTTCTTTAACTTCGACGGTTCCTGCTTCACATGGTAGAAAAGCCATGAGCAAAGAACCAAGACTATATTACCTTTCTTGCGTTTAAAACCTACTAACAGAACATATAACTTAAAGGAGAACAAATTCGATCCAAATTTCTCATACAAAGCAAGATGAGTTAACGAGTTTTTGAATTCTTAAATTCATAAAAAAGTTTGAACTTACCGTTTATTGTTGGAACTTCAGAAACGCGATCCATGGATTCCGAAGATGAGATAATACCTTCAGAAGCCGCACATATATCATTATCTGGTTTTTTCTCACTCTCCTTCAACACCTCAAGAGAGATTTCATTTGTACCATTACCCGCTTTTTCCTCACTCTCCTTGGATGCCTCAAGGGAGATTTCATTTGTACCATTACCCGCTATTTTCTCACTCTCGTTCGACACCTCAAGAGAGATTTTGTTTGTAGACAATGACTGAGAAACGTCATTAAACGAACTAACAACATTGCCGTTCTCCCGAGCTCCTGCTGTGGCATGAATATCATTAAGGGGTATAAGTTCAATCCCGTCTAAGACATCGGCAGGAATTCTCCCAGCATCCATTGTTGAGGGCACATCATCATCGAACGTGATAAACTCCGTCTCCATTAACCTACTCATCGGAGTTTCATGGATGTCTAATTGTGAAGAGACATCCACAGGCTGTTCCATAAAGTCTGTTAAAGAGATATAATGTGGGAAAATCTGCTCTCTTTCTTCTACAAGCTTAGCAGGAATTTCCTTGGCATGTGATCTTAAAGGGACATCGCTGAAGGAAATGAGATCTTTCTCGGGGAAGTCATCAAGTGAGATAAGCTGAGGAACAGAGTCTATCATTGTTCGATGGATCTCTTGTAAATTAAGTTCCTTCAGGCCATGCCCGATTTTGTCTGTTCCTGCATAAGTGACTGAATCTGAAACCAAAGGCTCTGAAGACAAGACAGAGTCTATCAGCTTGTCAGTGGCCATATCATAGGGCAAAGTGATAACCCGAGGCTCCAGGTCCACAGTCTGAAACGTATTTTGATCCCCTTTAGACAGACCGGCTCCTTCTTCATCATCTGAAAACACAGCTTCAGACTCCGTATCTGAATGAATCTTGAGCTCGGAGTACCCGACATGTGGCAAATGATAAAACCCAACCTTTTTCTTGATGATATTCCGAGCCTGTACAGCTTGTTTCTCGATTCTAAGAAGCCCAACCGAAGGAACGTTGAACGGAACTTCTGGTTCAGCCACTTGAGTATAAGCCCGTGGAAGCCATGGCTGGTTACAACATGTACAATACCGTATGCTTGGAGAAAGTGAACTATGCGAAGAATCACTATTCAAACCAAAGCAAGAATTTTCGCCCAGTTTCCCAACCAGTAATCTGTATGTCTCGGCATTGGACTTGTTGATCGTAGCGAACGAGAAAAGGCACGTCTCGCACATTCCATGAACATCAACGAGCTTGTCATGTGCGTGACAGTAAACCAGGGAAGAGATTTCAGATTTGTGTTTAGAACAAATCAAATCCCAGTAATGTTTGAAAGGTTTCTTCCCCAGAATATGATCAAGTCTTGAGCACAGAACACATGGTGATTGGAGCTCGGAGTAATCTGCAAACTTTGTGATCAAGTAGGAAAATATTCCGTGCAGGAAGAGCATGAACAACAGTATCCACTCAGAAAAGGCTAAAGCCAAAGCTCGTGTGAAACTTCGTGAATCCGGCCATGATTTCACTGAGGAAACTTGTGTAGTAGCCATCTTTTTCGGAGAACTCGGATAAAGAATTGATCATAGAATGCATGCGTCGAATCTACAACCATGAGAAGCAAATCAAATACAATTTATAAAATTAATGTTCTCCCCAAAGAAGCAGCCAAGACTCTCAAGAAACATCTACAATCTACTTGAAAATTTATCCATTAAACCAAATTTTAAAAGACAAATCGACGAAGAAAAAAAAGGTAAGAGATCTTAAAATCTATACATGGAACCCGTAATAAGAATCTCGAAGAACAAACCCCCAAATGATTGTCATATCATGCGATTGCACATTAACTAGGTCAGAACTTTTTATACAGTCGTAGGCAGATATCCACATTCATAACATATTGAGAAAGCAAGCCTAATCACGATCTCTGCTAAAGCTCAACTAAGAACAAATAACATTCAGGTAACTATGACCACAGATCGCCTGAGTTCAATTTAGAAACCGAATTTATAAAATATAAAAGAATGACAGCTGAAATCTCTGCTAATATTTCAGGGGGGATAACAAGAAGCAAACACAATTATGTTTCTGAAATCGGATTAGAAACAAAAGTATCTTGTAATTCACAAATCCTGAACTTGTTACTGAATGAAGACTCCAAACATGTTCCGAACTCGGGAATCTGAAAGAGTAACTAATGCTTTATAATGCAATCAAACCCATAAGTTACCCAGGCTGATTCCATCAAACTCAGAAATCATTTCAGTAGAAAGAATCAAACTTGTTTCAGATTAATTCCAAAATCAGGACAGACCCAAAAATAGATCCAGATTCTCAAAGAGAAAACTTCAAAGTGAATCCAGTTTAGACACGAAATTGATGAAAGAATCAATCCAAAACCTGCTTCAGATGCAAGATTCTGTGGATTGTCTATCAGAGAAGCTCATTGGAGAATAACAACAATAATGTTCCAGAATACAATCAGGCCGGGAATCAATGGAAAATCTCAAAAGAAAATATAACACAATTTGGACAGAACACTGAGACTAAACTAAAACCCTAAACCCAGAAACTCATCAACATCTACGCAATTGCTTCAACCTACAACAATGTTTTTTTGGGGGGGGGGGAATTGATGAAGCAGAATGAATGAATGATCCAATCAACACAAACATTGGATCAGGCAAAAAAAGACAGATAATTTCAGAGAAACAGATCAAACCCAGAATTCAAATCCTAGATTTATGAAACAAATCAAAAGAAAAAAAGGGCATGATCATACCAGAAATTGATTCAGAGAGAGTTATGAACCAAACCTTTCTCTCATGAGAATCAATCACCCCAGAATTTGTGGAAGAAAAATGTGAATGTATCTTCGAATTGAGCTGCGCGTTACCGAGTTGAAGATGAAGAGTTCAAAACTCAATGCGAGAAAGAGAAACAAAACCCCTCAAAAATCATGGACTCCTTTCTAATTAAATATTCAAAAGGCACCAGATACCCAGCAAGGAGAGCACGTAGTTTTCCTTTTCCACAACAAAAGAATTTTAAAAAAGGGGAAAAATCTTTTTCGAGAACCGGTAAATTTAACAGAAGAAAAAAATGATTACTTTTTTTACAGGGAAGAAAGGCACTGAATTTCATATTCCGATCGATAAAAACAGACAGGTAAAAAACAAAGTCAACTTAAACGTCATGATTTCTTTTTAAATTTCTTATGAATTACTATATATAGAGTACAGATGGTCAATTAGAAAAACAGATAATTATATATATATATATATATATATATATATGAGGAATTTAAAATATTGAAATGTATAAAAATGATATTGAAAGGAGACGCTAAAGATGGAGGGACCAGATAGTCGGCTGCTAATTTGAAAAGTTTGAGTACCAATATATATATATATATATATATATATATATATATATACAGTTTTTAGAAAAATGTCTCCAAGAGTAACAT